GTAGATGACGATTCATCGAAGAGAAGCGAACCGTTGTCTTGAATATTAACGCGATCGATCTTTTCATCCGGTCGGATTCGCACGAGATTAAATAAAGATTGGATCTTTCGATTGGAAATTCTCGCGTGCATTTAAGATCGTTAAAGATTTCTAAGGATCGTGGTCACGACATTTCGTAGAATTTATTAAAGATAATTGGAAATTTAGAAAGCGTTCTCATATTGGAAATTTTCTTCTTGGAACGTAACTTCTCTTGGCTTGTATCTGCTCGAACGGAACGATCGAACATGATCGTTTTCGATTGTTCGAAAATTATCTAATTGTTGAGAAATCCGTAAAGACGATAGTTTGTATTGTGCATTCGATCGATTGGACACGACGAAAGTGTCGTTAAAAATTAAGGAATGTGTAAAAGATATCGGCAAGCATAATAAATTTCTCTAGAAATTTATCCAATTCTCTCTAAACAATTTCGATATTGTGTAGTTTCGTGGTAACTATGGGTACAGGGGAGCCCGAAAATATCAATTTATCGAAAAATGCAACCTTGTTAGGATAAATTATCCCATTCTCTTTAAACTCTCGTATAACCTCTGTGCGCCAAGAGACGTAACTCAAAACAATTATCAAATTTCTTTCACCGCATAACGAACCGTACATCATCGTTCATTGCGTCATACTGTAATGTTATAATTGCTGTCGTAAAGGCAGTGTAAACGTTCTCTCTTAAGTATTCATTAAGTTCGTTTCGTATAGCGGAAGTATCTTAAAACGGGACATTAAAAACATTATTTACCGCATCGACGTCTTGGCGAATAATAATCTTTCAAGATGTAAAAACAAAATTAGAAAGGAAGTAGCCAAATAACTGTGTTGGCTGATCGTTAAATTCGCGACAAAGAAGTAAATTTCGAGTTGTCCAAAATTGTTTTTTTATGTTGCCGTTCGTCGTATACTATTCTTCAGCAAACGTCATACTTGCTAAATTTCACGCTCGTCATAAAATTCTCGATTACCTGTTTTAACGGTCGCCGATTGCCATTTACACGTCCTCGATTGGTTCTTCCTTTAGAATTTTAGATTCCCTTTACCTGTTAGCCTTCGCGATTCGTCGAAATTATCCTTGTCGATCGAAAAATTATTGGAATAACAAGAGATATCCAATCCTCCCTTCGATATACAAATTTTCAATTTTCCACTTCCGTTTTCTCCACCTCTCACGAGACTAAAACAAAAAAAAAAAAATGTTAACAACATTAACAAGATTACCAAAATTCACCCTCTGTTATTATTAATTTTCATTAAAACTATAAAGTATTTGATAAAATAATTTCTTTCATTTATCTCCTCGAACGATCTGATTGCCCCAACGGAGAATCGCCTCCTAGGATCTGAGACAAGAGATCGAGGGTGTTCCTCCTCTTCTTTTGGTTGGGCTTCCATCGAGGAAGCGGTGTCCACTCACGAAAACGAGGACAGAGGCATGCTCGAGCGTAGGCAGGATCGTCGTAGGATACATAGCCTGTGCACACGAGGTCAGGAAACGGGTTTCAGGGAAAATCTCTACGATCCTATCCCATACGAGATGCGTTATCCGTATATATATATATATATCTGCCTGTCTCACAAGAGATCCAACATTAATAGAGGTTCCATTAACCGCGTTTCCTGCCGATCCCCCCGTGTCCACATGGGAACATTTTCTCCCGCGAATCGTTTCTCTTGTTGCTGATGATGGTATATTGTGGGACGGGATACGCGTTGGCGGGATGGATCGAGAGACAGGTGTGTTTCAGATATTGACGGATCGAGAGAGATTATTGATGGTAACTGGATGGCGAGTTTCTTTTTGCGTGTTTTAAAAGAAGAGGGAAGTTTATTATTGCGTGTAATTTCGATGTATCTCGATGAATATTTATAGGTCGAAAAATGTGATAAAATGTGTAAGAAAGATATTGGCCATTTAAATAAAATTATTTTTCTTCTTCTCCTCCTTTTGTTGGTTAATTATTTTTATCTTTGTAATAAATGTATCTGAGTTAATAGTTGTTGTTCATCTAGTCTTGACTAATCAAGTTTTTTTCATCCCAAAGAAAGGAAAAAATGTGTGCCCACTAACATAAGATTATGCAGATTTAACGATATCAACATAATTTCGAATACATCGATTTAAATAGAAATAAAATCAAATTCGATAATTTCTATTCGATATACGCATATTCATTTCCCCGAAGAAATATTTGCATGCCCATACTTTGGAAATTAAATTTTAATAATATTTCACCGATATATCCCCCCTCATTTCGCATTAATTACGAAAAATATAATCGAAAAATTATTGGCCACGACAAAACTGTACAGTCTCGAAATATTCGCATCACAACAAAAATCATCCGAGGAATTTATTTCATTTCCATATCGTTTATCGCGAGACGAATTAAAAATCTTTCAAATCCGTCGTAAATCAATCCCCCTGTGGCTTCGAGCCACTCTTCTCCGCGGCGGAAAAGAAAAAAAGAAGAAGAAGAAAAAAAAAAGAATAAAAATAAAAATAAAAAATAAAAAAATAAAAATAAAAAATAAAGGAAGATAAAAAAAAGATAAAAATAAAAAAAAAATCGCTGAAAATAATAAATGATTTGCGTAACGGAGAGTTAATGACTTCGAAACGGCAATAAAGAATTTCTCGGTGCCTAGATCCGCGCATTGAAATCGCAGGAAAGGCTTTCGTGGAAACACCGGAAAGGATAATAGGCGAATATCGGTCCGGTGTAGACGTTGTAGAGGCGAGTTACGGACAATTTATTTACGCACAATCCTGAGATGTAGCCGTTCCTCGTGTGTACACAGTGGTCCAGCGAAACGTGTTTACCCCGATGCCGATTCCAAGATCCCATAGAATAGCATCCATGGATTCCATTAGCCGTATTTCCACTGGACGTGCCCGTAAAAAAAAAAAAAAATCATCATTTCTCGATCCTTCTCGCGCGCGCTCAGTGTTAAACTGTGAAGTTTGTTATTGCTACGTGCAATTCCCTCGACTTTCAGGGAAATAATATTGGATTTATAGGATTAGATTTATTGCGCGAGTTACACAGGATATTGGATTTAGCAAGAAATGGATATTTGGATAGAAATAGGCGTCGCGTGGTTTAAGATGGATAAAGGTGGACGTATTCGATGGTCGTTTCGAAATTACGAGAGTGTGACGATGATTCTCGAGTCAAAGTGATG